TTGTCATCGATTCCTCCATATTATTCCAAGATAGAGTCTTTTGAACTCAAACCGTTCTGTCTAGCGATCTAACACAAACATTATATTTTTATACTAAATTAAATCGTAGTTCCTATGAAGCCGTTTGCTTTTAGATTCAAAGAACATTGACGTTGTAAATATAGCTTTTCTTGATTTGATCAGTTTCTGAACTGCGTTTGGCCTCAGGCGTTATGTTTGAGCTCAACAACACTGATCTGATCATTTCTAACGTACCTTTAGATGGTCTAACTAAAGTGAACCCCACTTGATACTTTGACAAAAGGGTTTCTTTACCTTTACGTGTTCTTGCAACTTCTCTCGTGTGTTTAGGTGCAAAAATGAGGTTCGGTTGGTTTTCTTATTTGGTAATAGATAACTTAACGGTTTGGTTTGTAATTTCTTAAATGTCACGCTACCATTCTTTAACCTAAAGCTTAATACTCCGGAGAATTTTAACTCCGCTACACAATTTGTACCGTAGTAGATTTCGCTGAAGCAGCAGATGTGCATACTCATTTCTCCGGAACAGTTCATGCCACGGCGACTGGGTTTATTAACTATGCATCCATTTGGGAGAGAATTTAAATTGTGTAGGTGTTTAACATATTTAATAATCTGCAGGTTGTTTTACCGTATGGACTATTTTCGACTTCTATGCTTTTAATGAATATATGATGTTTCTTGTTACAATATGACCTGTCATAAATATCTTTATAACATGCATTTAGTTTCTATTTTTAAATGTCATTTATTCAGAAACATTTCTTTTGAGAAAATATGTAGTACTCAACCTTTGATATGGTTTTCTTTCAAATAGATGAAAGAAAACCATAGCAAATTTAATTATCGAATAAGTTTATCAGGACAGTTAACGGTTTCACATAATATCTCGAATTACGTTTAAGATTTTTTATATTCCATATCAATACATCTCATAAATATTCATGAAAATTACAAATATTCAATACGTCCAAAGGTCACGTGATGGATAACAATATAAGTGATTCACTAAATATATCTCAGTAAATTAGCCTCATATACTCTTTGAGGTACACTGAGTTTTATTGTAATTAAATAACGCATTGTTTTGATATATTTTATAGATAGTGTATAGGTCATTCCTTAACTTGCTTTGATTCTGCGCTCATTTTAATACCTTTCAATACACGCGCCAAATAGACGCGAGATGGCAGGCGAGTCTGTGGAATCAATACTAACTACATGTAAGGATTTCACTATGGACCAAATAGCCTTTACATTTTCTTTAAAAACTCATAGCTTCCAGCGAATAATACAAATGCTTTAAGATTTTTTGTAATCTGAGTCGTGTTGAGAATGCATGAAATCTTAGACGAGTTTCAAGGAACTACAGTCATTTGGACAGTATCAAATGAATGGTCGTTATTAGGCCTTATAGTGTAGATAAAACGTATTCTGGAATCAAGCTTTAATATTGGAAGATTTCTCGGTCGTGTTCTTGTGACACTAAGCTGTATATCTTAAAAATATTTCGATCGATTTACTGTTTGTAGGAAGATTCAACTCATTTTGCCTTACACTTTCAAGTTAATTTGAATCTTTTCAAGCTTTACCAGTCGGCCTACGTGCCTGTATTATAGCATCTGTGTAGTGTTTTAGATTTTTTGTGACTATTAAGGATGACACTTATCAGCTCCTAATCCAATTTAACGATGACACAAATGTGTGGTTTTTATTCAACTCGTGTATTGTTTTCTCGGCAAAGATTGATGCTTTCTGTGCTTGCTGGTGATGTTAGTGGTTGTTCTTAGCGTCTGAGACATTTTCATCTTAGGAGTTTTGTGGGTAGAATTTGTGCTAGTGGTAGTGCGGGAGAGAGGAATATGGAAATTTTGGAGAATGTGATGTGTTTATGGTAAAGAGTCGACTAAATCAGTAGTTTATGATTTTTTTGCTTGGAAGTATATATAAAATATAAAGATAGGCCAGCTTTTGCTTTGCCTTTCAACCCCAATTTTTCGATGATTCAGGTTGGAACTTGCGCGGTAGCAAACGAGTAAGTTATAACTAGGAAAATGTGATTTGTGTCCCGTTTCATTATTTTTTAACTTTTAAATATTGTAAATCTTTCTCTTGGTCTCCAAATTTCTGACAGAATTCTTTCATTTTTCGATTGACGGGCAATATTTACATTTTAATCTTGAAAATAGAATAATTCTCAAATAATAAGTCGCTTTAACGATCAGTGTCTAATAATCACCCTGTACAAACTAAATTAAGTCTATATACATCTTTTTCTTAAATGTTTGCTACAAAAATTAATCGTAATCGGAAATCGTTGGTGCAAAATTAAGGCAGTTAGGGCTTATCGCGACCCGAACGAAGTGATATCTAGTGTCTATCGATGTGAAAAACGGTTGCCTCACCAGTCTGAACATAGTTTTTGTAGAAAAGATGTTGTTACAATGCACAGTTGGCCTCATGATAACTTTTGATCACAGACTAATGAATTTATTTTTAAATGTAAATTTAAGTTGACTCGTGCCTCCCTAGACTATAATTATCTTTTCAAACAAAAATCACTCGATTTGTCGTCTCGTCCCTCGTGGTCTTAGCTCCAAGTATCGACTGTCCTATTTATAGAATCGATAAAATTTAAAACATTTTTCATAGAATAAATTGGTTTAGATCAGTTTCCAAATATTCGATCACGTTTTTAATAAGTTAAAATCTCTTTTAATTGTTCGTAAGTAAGAATATGGGAGGCTTTATTTAAGTCAATCATGTCTAAAAACATCCTTTTAACTTCATTTGAAAGAGTTCGGTTAATATGCTATATCATCATGGTAAGCTATTTGGCGTATGACGTCAAGCAAGTTAGAAGCATTAAGTCGAGATTTAAAACTACTACGTTGGATGACGTCGAACATGATTCTCTAAAGACTTGCCTCACATTTATATTTGACGTTAGGACCTAGAAATTGAAATTTACTGCTTACGAGATGAAAGGGAACAAAATGTTATTAGTAAAGTCTAATTTGCTTTCATCGATTCCGAGTGGAGTTAATCATTTTGAAATTATTAGCTATATACTTTTAAGCACGGTTTCCAGATGAATTATTTTAGGCTTATTTGCACACAAACTCGTTCTTAATATATAAATATAACTGGACATAAATGAAACAAATAATCTTATACAAAAAACTATAATAAAATAATATCATATTAAAATTAATAATAAAACAAGTAAAAAATGTAAAAATGATACTGGAAAAAAAAAACCTTTAAGAGTTAAAATATCAATCAAGTCAGTTTTATGTCGTGAGAAAAATGTGCATAGAAAGTTGTAATATCTCTCATAATTTCAACAAAATTTATTTAGCCGCCATATTGGATTTTGAGAGTAATGATTATAGAAGATCTAAAATAATACATAAATTCTAGTTGTTGATCTATAGCTTCGGTCTTGTGTAATTTTACTGCTGGTGGCCTATCGATTGACTGTTGGTACAATATTTTCTATTGCACTTCAAACTGCCTAGGGCTTTATTATTAATTAGGGAAAAATGCCAAGGTTTATATTAAACACTGCAAGTCTGATGACTCTATGGAACAACTGAATTTTATCAATCCAGATTCAAATAATGCGCGGGCCTCATCGTCAAATATAGACATACAATATTCCGAACAATTTCAGCATGAGCAATTTGCATAGTAGATGTATATTGCATTTTACTGCATTTTAATGATTTTTATGCTGCGAATTAAAAATCCCTCCCCGCTTAACGTATTTTGTTCAAAAGTGTAGTAGGCCTCCGATATTTTTTGATGATTTAAAATCCGATTTAATTTGCTTTACAAGTGGTTTTACTGAAACATTTGTTCAAGACAATGAGCAGTTTATTTAAGGAAATATTCGCCCAATGTTGTTCAGTTGCCAGTGCTAGTTCCCCTGTGTTGGTATGTACGTGTCCCTGTGTTTGTTGTAAATCTATCAGGACCCTAGAGTAAACATCCCCAAGTCTGCTTGTCCTCCTTACCTACATCTATTGTTGCTTCAAAACGCTGTCTTGTTACCTCTTTGAAACCTAGTTCATTTGATGATTACGCTTTCTAGAACGGTTTGATACGGGTTGACAATTTTTCTCTGCCCCTCTAGCGACACATCGGCTAACCTATCTTAAATCCTCCGTTCAATATGCCATAGCATATTTTAAATCATTATCTGAACCGTTACGAAGAAAGAGTGATCATCACGAGGATGAGGTTGTAAGTCCACTTCCCAAATTGGCATTTTGGTAGCTTTAGATCAGGATGTTCAGTACACTTTTAGTTTCCTTAAATAATAACCAAATATCCTTTCTTGTAGCTATGACTCTTCTATCGCTACTAAAAACTTGTTTGTATTGCGCAGTTGTGTTGGGTGTTTAGCGGTTGGTTCCACTACCTTCTGTTGCTTGGTTTTGTTGACGTGTGTGCGATGTAGACTTAACCCTGTCATCATATATATTGCAGCCGGTATTGTAAAACTAGAATGCGAGTAACTCCTCCGTCAGTACTGTTGTTTAGATATTGCAAGGTCAGATTGACCTTAGCCTAGCAAATTAATGTGATTGAATGTGAACATATATCCATATCTATATCTATATATCTTAAGTATGTCGTGTACTCATGTAACTGTTGATATTATATTATGAAATGTTTTAATTAAACACTAAAACTGTTCCAAAATGTTCATTCACAGTTCAGGCTCCAGTACGGGTCGGGACAGCGAGGGCTACAGTCGTCACCTCAGTTCCAGAACACCTTCTCTCCGGCACCCAGGAGGCTACAAAAAGAAAGACTCCACGGCCTCCTTCAACGACCCAACTATAGCTTCAGTGAGGGACTTGTACACAACAAGAAGATACCGCGACACGGCAAAGGAGGTAAAAATAGCTCCCAATCCCGTCATCGTTGGCGAGCCGGTGTCGGGTTCTTTGGAGGCCCCCGCCATAGATATGGGGGTTCCAGGGGAGACTGCTGTGACCAGACATTTTGCTGCATTGGATGAAGCGCCGCCCGACCCACAGACCATCCTCAGAAGTAAACAGAGTACAAAACGTGTGATATTAAATGTTGGGGGTGTGCGGCATGAAGTGTTGTGGAGAACTCTCGATAGAATGCCGCACACCCGACTTGGAAAACTTCGCGAGTGTATAACGCATGAATCTATAATGGAATTATGTGACGATTATAATTTATCAGAAAATGAATATTTCTTTGATCGGCATCCTCGATCATTTGCTTCAATTTTGAATTTTTATCGTTCGGGAAAATTACATCTTGTGGAGGAAATGTGTGTGTTATCATTTAGTGAGGATTTAGAATATTGGGGAATAGATGAATTATATTTGGAATCGTGCTGTCAACATAAATACCATCAGAAAAAGGAACACGTGTTCGAGGAAATTCGCAAAGAGGCAGAGTCGATACGACAACGAGATGAGGACGATTTTGGAACCGGTCGATGTGCCAAAACTAGACAAAGAGTATGGGACTTACTGGAAAAGCCAACAACTTCAATGGCAGCTCGGGTAAGTCTTTTATCTTTTTTCATGACTGCCTTTTAGTGATACAGATGTGGATTTAAAAATCAGCCTTCATGTTTTTGGTCTGATTCACATCATTCACTGAAAGACAGTTTCATCATCATCGTCATCATCATCATTATATCATCACGATATTTGTGATATCTAGAAAACGTATTCTATAGAAACCATTATTCAAAAACCGCTATGTCAAACGAAGACGCCCAAGTTCAATTAAACATAAGACACATAGTACATCTGTAACAAAAATCAGATTTATAACGAAGACTTAGCAAGATAATACAGTTCATCTTGACAAAAAAATTAAACATTTAACGTTTTATGGTTTATCACAAACCATAATGTAGACACCAAGACGCACAGTTTGTGATTGACAGCTACGGGTAGAAATCTAGACAGTGGACTATGTTTTTGAGACCAACATATTTCGCGATATCAGTGTTATAATATACAAAATGGTAGGTAGACATATGTAAAGTCTGATGACAGACAAATGATCTAAATTCAGACAATTAGGAATTTTTTCAGACTAACAAGCGAAAGAGGGTTTGAGAATAACTCCCAGACAGGTCGGTGATGGACAACATCACAATCGTACGGAAAACGTTATGGCGCTTTTCAAATCGGATGAACAGATAACATCTAGCGCGAGGTAAGTACAGAGAGGAGCATGTGAAGCAAACTGCAGTAAATATCACATTCCATATCCAAATTTCTTGTGGCGATAACTTAATGTACAGACTGAAGACATTCTGGCATGATATTGTTTCCTTACAACCTCAAAGTCGAAGGTTCTTCCAACATCACGTTATTGTACTGGTTTAAAACCCCCATTAACTAATATTAAACACCACTATTGAACTTATTATCAAACTAATATGGATTCAAGCGACATGAATTTCTCTTTGGAACTATTATTTCTATATGGAATCATGGTTATGGTATTGTTATTCCACTTAAACCATAGTTAAAATATTATTGCTGATCAATATTTTACAAACTCAACAAAATACACAAAAAGAATATAAGACTGTATTGATTAGTACGGGTAGGAAATATGATATACTTGGTTTGTGCTTTATAATGATGATGGGCGACTAGAATACAAGGGCATCAGTTGTAACTTTACCACCCGTTGATATAATATATTTACAAATATCATATTCATTACCGAAACAAGCTTTGATATGATCTGGAAATGACTTGTACAGATATAATCCTATTGCCCATTATATGCACTGTGTAGCTTGCATTCAGAATATGACAACCGATTTATAGCTACATGGGATATGATGTCACTGGGCTAGCTAGCCTGTAGCTTACCTCTGGACAAATAGACAATATATTACCCAGTTAAGGGCTGTGACGTTACAATTTTGGAAATCTTTACCCGAGGGAGCTAGTTAAGGTAAATAGCTAGACAGCCAGTCGAAGTAAATATCTAGACAGTCCAAGTAAATATCTAGACAGGCTGTGATAAATATCTGGACATAAAGTAGAAGTATCCATGTAGACAGTCAGTCAGTCGATGTAAGTATCCAAACAGTCGACGTTAATATCAAGACAGTCGACGTTAATATCAAGACTGTTGAGGTTAATATTAAGACAAACTATGTAAATATTTAGATAAATATCTAGACAATCGATGTTTGTATGTAGACATACTAGGTAAATATCTAGAAAGTCGAGGTTAATATCAAGACAGTCAACGTTAATATCTAGACAGTCGACGTTAATATCTAGAAGTCGAGGTTAATATCAAGACAAACTATGTAAATATTTAGACAAACTAGGTAAATATCTAGACAATCGATGTTTGTAGGTAGACATACTAGGTAAATACCTAAAAAGTCGATGTAAATATCCAGCAGACAGTCGGAATAAATATACAGATTAGTGGAGTAAATATCTGAACAGTCAGTAGAAGTAAATATTTAGACAGACAGTAGGGGTAAACATCTAGACACATAGCCAACATTGATATCTAGACAACTGATGAAAATATCCAGATAGTCGAAGTAAATATCTAGACAATTCTGGTAAATGCACAGACAGACATTCGATGTAAATATGTAGACAGACAGTACATAAAATGTCATAATAGTCAATATTTAGACAGTTTAGCTACATAGATACGCGTCCACACATCACAAATGAATTGCACCGGACAGATGACTTAGAAAGCATGCATCTCTGCGACTTGATTTATTAGCTTAATGTTACATCTATTTGTTTCATGATTATCGTTTTTTTTTTTATAAAACTGCTCTACCTATTTTATTGCTAAAGACAGAATGAAAATTTAATCTATTTCAGTACGATGCTTAATTCCCTTGATTTGTTGCCTCGGATCTCAACATTGTTAACCTGATAATCTGAAGTTAAACAATTAGTACTGTTGTCTCGGACTCACTAGACCTTCCAGTGATCTTTTTAATGAAATTCGCGTACAATGAATATACTTTGATAGATTCAATTGTACTGTCAACAAGAGAAGAAAGTTTCAATCAAATTGGCAACAATCTAGTAGACTGATGAGGGAGCAAATTGCAATCAATGAAAGTCTAAGTCATTTATTCTTTGAACCAGTTCGAGATTGCGTGATGACAAGTAGTTAAAGATTTTTTCTTTCCTCCTTTGATGAAAATTAAATGTTAGTACATTTCGTTTGAACGCAACAAGTTAGTGTGGTCGAATTAACCAAATGATTAATTAACTCGTATTGTTTTTTATTATTCCTATGTGAAAGTAATTAACACCAATAAGATATTGTTTCGTTGAAGATTACCCAATTTGGACATTTAGTGAAATTTTATGCTTTTCACTCTTTACAAAATAGCTGTGTTTTGTGTCACTTAAGTTTTCGGTCATTAATGTTTTTTTTATATTTCTGACGATATTTTGTCGTTCCACAGAATATTATGTTTCGTTATATATCTAACTGTAACAATAGTTGAATGCATGCGTATTTTAATATTTTATTCCAAAAGACCGCTTTTAAATAAATTATATTAACTGCTCTACATTTGCATGTCAAAAGGAACTGAATAAGAACATGTCTTATTTTTAATTTCAACCTCATAGTAGTAAAATCCACGCCATTGCCATCAAAAAGATCTTAGCATGGAATAAAGTAAATCATAGTCGCTGAATAAGCTAAATTACGTGATGGCATTTGACTTAAAATTACCTTCTAGTACTGAGATGGAACTCGTTTGAACAAATATCAGAATCGATCGGATAGTGGACACTGGTCAGTATTAATATGACAGCCACACGCACAACTCGTTCGTTATAAGCATCATTAAATCAAGGCAGTGTTTGCAGTTGGTCAGATACATTTTCTCATTACTGACTTCAGAGACTATTGTGATTTATTAATGTTCCCCTCGGTAAAATGACTTAATCACATTTTAACATAATTAGAACATGAACTTTGCTACTGTAGTTACTCTGTAAATTACTTTGAAGATCGCGACAACATCAAAGGAAATAAGAAATATCACCCTGGTCTAGTCAAATATTTAGAACATGACTGTGGACAATTTGTCTTAAAGATACAAATTTTTGTTATATTATTGTTCACGTTTCCACTTTGGTTATTGATGAACAAAGTGAGTTCTGTATGTTTTATATGTTTAACGTACCGGCTACTTTATCAAAACCCTTGATGTCATGTAAAGTAGACTTTTTAAAAATAGTTCAACAGTTAATTTAATGTCATTAATCTGGAAATAGAAATCAGTCGGTTGAAATGACATCCGGAAGAATTTTCCCTTCATGGAAATATTATATCTGGTTTCTAATTTATCCACGAGTTGGTCACGCGTTAAGTTTTCAACTACAGTTTATATAGATAATATGACTATGTTTCATTGTGGTTATAAACTAGAATCTTTGGCAAACCCAGTCTTAAATGGCATCAGATTCCAACTCTGAGTAAAAGTCGAGCTGGATAAAGTCATTGGAGCGGAATCCTCATTCTGCAAAATCGACACAATACAATACGTATTAATAGAAAATTATATAGAACGAAGAGACAGACTGGGAAAGTAATTTCTCGCGTTGAAATGTCAAATGTTACATTCAAACCTGAAGAATTTTCAAACATTTATAAGTCAGAAAGACAGGTGAGATAAAATGACGGTTTTAGACTCTTGTAAGCTGTGAGTCCATTAACAAGGCAGTCGATTATATAAATTATTTATGGGATTTTCTGATTTGTTTTAGCACAACTTTCCTCGAAACCTACTCACATACATAACTATTTTCTCTTTCATATGCGAAATTGAGACAGAACCGTTAAGGTTGATGCCATTAGTCACAGGCACCTTTCCAGACACGTCTAACATGGTATGATCGGAATTTCATTGATACATTCTCAATTCTGCAAAACAGGTCATTGAAATTTGAAGGATCAGTCAAGGAATCAGTAATTGAAGGCAGTGTGAACTCTAGTAAAAGCGAAGTATATGATATTTAGTTATGGATAATAAAATATCCTTTTTCGAAGGCCGTGATATTCCACCACTCAAACTCACCAATTGAACATATTTTTACATATTGATGTCTTGGCAAAATGTCCCTCATTTCACCATGCATGGTGCAGAAAAGTAGGACGTAAAACCTCATTCAATTCATTTACATATTGAGCAAAACAAAAATGATAACAGCAAGCCTTTTTGTCATTTTACAATACGGTATACTATAATTGACCATACGTTATGATGAAGGTTACCACAGCCGGCATAGATGATGTCGGCATCTAAGTCCCTTTGGGTGATCTGTTTCATTTTGGTCAGATTTTCTTCTAATCTCTTCTGTAAATAAGCGTGGTATACTTCGGGCTTTGCTAATCCCTATTACACGAAGTCCTTTGTAGTAAAAGTAAAACTTGTTGAGATTCCTTGAACCTAGCTCAATATTAGGAGTATATCTGACTGACCATTTGGAGCCTAATGTAAATAATTTTGTTCGTTTAATTT